TTCCTGTTTCAAATCTTTCCAGGCTATTACTCTAATGCCTCCCTTCCACCTCCCAGTGCCCTAGTCCAGTGATTTTCAACATGTGCTACTCGGATGGTTCTGAGAGGGTGACTCATAAACCTCTCAACCTCCATTTCAACCATAACACCCCACTTACATCTGTTTTATAGATTGGTACTCTCCATAAGATTAAATTAATTGAGTAAAGGATTCTGTGTGTCAACTATATGTGGAAACCATAGCTGTTATTAAACTGGGCTCCTCATCTTTTCCTGGTTCCAGTGTTGCTTTCTTACTCCCATGCCAGAGTGTCTTAGGCTCTTCTCCCTACTCAGAATGATCATGGGGTCATCTCTGCCTGTCAAAACCCTCATCCTTCAGGTCTTTTGCAAATACCCTCTGTCTGTGCTGCCCTACCTGGTTTTTGAGCCAGGTGTAGCCTTTCTTCTCTCTGAACTTCTTCTATAGCTTGTTGAATTTCACTAATACCTTATATTTGATTCACTTGTGGGCCTGTCTCCCTTTCACACACTGGCTATAAGCTCCCCAGGAGTATGACTTGTCCCTCAGTCTTACCTGATGACCCTAACATATAGTAGGCACTGGATTAAGATTTGGAGGGGCTGAATTTAAAAAGCCAATATAACTCCATCCCTATTTTCTATAGCAGTGTTTAATTTCCGTGGGATATTAGTATTTGGCAGTGGGAGCGGAGAATTGAGTGTTCTTGCCATACTCATAAGTTTGCGCTCTCTTATTAATGTGAATAAAGGGAGTGTGGTGCAGTGAATTATTTGGTAGTTCTTTGTGTAATTACTTGGTAATTACTGGCAATGGTCCTTGTGACTCTCACCAGGTGACTGGGTGGGACTGTGCAAATATAATGTGCCGGTGGCCCACCAAGGGAATTGGATAGCTTGTTACTAATGAAAATAAGGTACATGGCACTCTTGTGGGGGTGGGACCATGGCAATAAGGTGTCTGGAACCCTAATGTGGGGATTGGTCAGTTTTGTCTTTCTGCTAGGCTTAAAATGAGGCTCCCCCAAAGGCAGAAGGGGGTGAATCTCACTGCCATGAAGAGAGGGAAGCAGAAGTGGAGAGTGTCCTAGAACTTGAGATCCTTGCATTGAGGCAGCAGAGAAATGGCAGAGAGATGGTGGCAGCAGAGGCAGCAGAATCAAGAGACTGGTACAAAGATAGAGGGGCAGGCTTGCCAGCCCACGGAGTGAGAAAGCTGAGTGCCTTTGGGAAGAGTGGGGAGTACCTATTGGCAAAGCTGAAAGAGCTTTATAATACTTGCCTGAGCAGAGCAGAGGCCAGGCCGAGAGGCCAAAGGCCAAAGAGGTGTGCCTTCAGGTATGATTGAAGGAAGCCTGTCCTGATTGAAAACCTATATCTTGAGTGTTCCTGAACCTGAACTGTAAGCTGTTATTTCCTGAATAAACCCTATAACCATTGTCTGTGAGTTCTGTCTGGCCATTGTAACAAACTACCAAACCCAGCAGAGAAGTAGAAAGTGCTGTAGGAGGGACAGTTGGTGTCAGAATTGGTTAAAAAAGGGTTGGAGGGTAGCAGCACATCTGACTTCCACCTTACAGGAATCAGCCTTGGGTTGACACTGTAGATGGTGATTCTCTCTCCCCTTGTGAAGTTAGAAGAAGTAAGAGGATACTGCCCCTATGCCCTTTTTGTAGGGAAGTAGAAAAATGTGATAAAGAGTGAATATGATGAGATGAATGGAATCCATGAGGCCTAACAAATGTTTAAGACCACCTGTAAAGTTAACTTCCCAAAACCATATTTATTTCTACACTTAAGTTACATTCAGTTGATAATCTTTTAGACAATGATTTTGTTTGTTTATTTGTATTACTGACTATTTTCCAAAATATTTCTCTTTACTGAATTCCAGTTCTAAGATCCAACAGTGGGAGAGGCTGATGTAGATGGTAAGGACCTGTCATGATTTATGGCCCTTAATAGTCAGGTAATAGTAAGCTAAAAAGGCAGTCATGTTCGTGCTGCTCACCTACTCTATGAAACGCTCACTTACTTTATTAAAACAGTAATGTTGTTGTTATGTGCCATTGAGTCAGACCTGACTCATAGAAACCCCTCCTTGGGTTTCTGAGGCAGTATCACTACAGAAGTAGATTGCCCCACCTTCCTTCCGAGGAGTGACTGGTAGGTTTGAACCGCCAGCCTTCTGGTTAGCAGTCAAGTGCCTTAGCCACTATGCTACCAGAGCTGTATATTTATAGACATGGAAATATATAAAAATATACTCTGAAATGAAGATTTTTAGAAAACTACCAGATTTTAAAATAGTGTATAACAGTGGGTGAGGTTGAGAGAAAACAGGCATTCCATACAATGGTGGTGTGAATGCAAGACGGTATAAACCCTATGGAAGTGAATTTGGTAATATCTAACAAAACTACGCATGCATATACTTTTGACACAGTAATCCCCCTTTTAGGAATTGATCCTAAAAATATGATTTTGGAATCACTGGGCCTGGAAGCCCAGGACCATAGTCTCAGGAGACTTCAAGGTTAATTGGCATAATATAGTCCACAAAGACAATTTCTACTCTCTACTTTGGTGAGCAGCAACTGGGGTCTTAAAAGCTTGTAAGTGCCACTTAAGATGCAACAATTAGTCTCTCACCACCCAGATCAAAGAAGAGTGAAGAAAATCAGAGACACAAGGAAACAATTAATCTAAAGGACTAGTTAACCACATAAACTCCAGCTTCCATGACCCTGAGACTAGATAGTGCCCAGCTTAGTGCCTGAGGCATTTGACTGCTAACCAGAAGGCTGGTGGTTCAAATCCACTAGCCACTCCTTGGAAGGAAAGTTGGGCAATCTACTTCCATAGTGATATTGCCTCTGAAACCCAAGGAGAGGTTGTTATGAGTCAGATCTGACTTGACGGCAGTGAGTTTGGTTTGGTTTGTACCGATGCTGACCATTCTGAAATGGATCACAACTGGATATCCTGGTTAGAGTGGGAGAAAAATGTGGAACAAAAATCAAAATTGTAAAAAAAAAAAAAAAAAGATGAGGCTTACTGGTTTGTTAGAGACTGGTGGAACCCCTGAGACTCTGGTCCCTAGACACCTTTCAAGCCGGGAATTGAACTTGCCCCCATGGCTCAACTTTCAGCCAAACAAGAACTCACTGCTATCAAGTCAATTCAGACTCATAGTGACCCTTTAGGACAGAGTAGAAGTGGCCCATAAAGTTTCCAAGGCTGTAAATCCTTATGGAAGCTGACTGCCTCATCTTTCTCCTGTGGAACATGTAGTGGTTGGTGAGGTAGAACCACCAACTTTTGATTAGCACCAAATGCTTTAATCACTACACCATCAGAGCTCTCTAGCCAAATGATAGACAGGCCTATAAGGTGAATGATAATACCAGGGATGTGTACATTCATTAGAACAATCAACCATATGAGATGAAAAGGGCAGCATTTGCCCAGGGATAAAGCTATGAAGGCAGGAAGGGATAGGAAAGAAGGACCACAGGAAATGGTAAACACAGGGAAAAGTGCTGTTACATTGTGGGGATTGCAATGAATGTCACAAAACAAAGTGTGTATGAATTGTTGAATGGAAAACCAATTTGCTCTATAAACTTTCATCCAAATCACAATTTAAAAAAATATGAAAACACATACACACTACATTGCTCATTGTAGCATGATTTGTAAGTGCAAAATATTGGAAAATACCAAATGCCCAAACATTGCAGAGGGGCTGAATAAACTATGAAAAAAAGGATGGGAAGATCTCTATTTCTGATCTGGAGTGATTTCTGGGATACATTGTTAAGTTAAAAAACAAAGTACAAAAGAGTAGACAAAATCCAAAACCCTTTCATGAGGAAAAGAGTCAACAAACTGGGACTAGTAAGTATATCCTCCGCTTGGTAAAGGGCATCTATGAGAAATCTACAGCCAACATGGCACTTAATGGTAAAAGAATGGAAACTTTCCCCCCTAAGGCCAAGACCAAGACAGGAACAAGACAACAATGCCCACTCTCATTATTTCTATTCGACACATACTAGAGGCATACGCTAGGGCAGCTGGATAAGTAAAAAGAAACAAAATACATCCAGATTGGGAAAAAAGAAGTAAAATTATCTCTCACACATGACATAATCTTGTATATAGAAAATCCTAACAAATACGCACACACACACACAGCTATTAGAGTCAATAAATAAATTTTTCACGGTAGCAGGATTCAAGATCAATTTATAAAAGTCATTTGTTAGTTCCATATTTGAGCAATAAGCATCCTGAAAATGAAATTTAGAAAGCAATTCCATTTACAATAGCATCAAAAATAATTAAATATTTAAGAATAAATTTAACAAAAGAAGTGCAAAATTTGTACACTGAAAACTACAAAGCATTGTTAAAGGAAGTTAATGACTACAGGATTTCTTTTGGGGTTTAAGGAAATGTTCCGGAATAGATTGTGGTGACGCTTGCACAACCTTGTGACTATACTAAAACCTACGAAATGTGCACTTAAAAGAGTGAATTTAATGATATGTGAATTATATCTCAATAACAAAAAAAAAGAAAGAAAGAAAAAAAGGGGAAAGAAAACTATGTAGCATTGTACCTTTGTAGAAAAAAAAGAGTACATAAAGCATAAAAAGGAAAACATAAATGTATCTGCTTACTTTTGCAAAAAGAAATACACTATAGATAAACCAGAAGACAATGAAATCATTTATCTACAAGGTGGGGGCTGGAAAAGCAGGATGTTTTCTGCTAGTCTATATACAAGTCGATATACAAGTACATACAAAGGAAAAATAATTAGAGAATTGTTAAAAAATGAAAGTATGGATTTGGTCATGCTTTGATTCACATTGGGAGGGAAGGGAGGGAGAGAAAGAGGGAAGAAACAAAATTAAAAGGAAGATAAGGAGGGAGACAGCCTGACATAAGCTGGTGTAATGGCAGCACGTCTCAGGCTTCTCTAGCATACAGGCTGACCTTGACTTCAGCTGGACAGCCCCCACAAGGGACGTGATAGAAGGATGCCTGCTGGATAGCCACCATCAAAGCATTTTTCTGAGCAGCTTGGCATGCAAGTGTCACTTGCATATTTTCCACTCCTGAATGGAGCAAGAGCTAAAGGAAGAAAAATGTAACTCGTATTAGGAACTTCTCCATAATGAAAACCAAAAACCAAAGCCACTGCCATTGAGTCAATTCCAACACAGAGTGACCCTATAGGACAGAGTAGAACTGCTTCATATGTTATCCAAGCCTGTAAAGGTTTATGGAAGCAAACTGCCTCATCTTTCTCCCATGGAGCAGCTGGTGAAATCAAACTACTGACCTTTTGGTTAGCAGCCAAATGACTTAACCACTGTACCACCAGAGCTCCTTCTTTCCAAAAAGAAAGAGGTGAAATTCAGGTTTAAGATAGCCACCAATTCAACATATGAATATATGAACCAAACTGCGGATGAGCGCGAACTTGGGCTGCTCAGACACAAACCTGGTCTGGTCTTTTCCTAAACGATACTTCACCTCCTGGGAAAGCCTCCAGGTGTGATTTGCTCTCTATCTGGACACTATCTGGTTTCTCTACTAGCCAGAGAAGGATGAGTAAGCTCTGAAGAACCAGCAAACGTGCTCAGTGGTAGGCTTTGTGTGAAACTGTCAGCATTAGATTATGTTTAAATAATACGCACACAAATACAAACCCACATGTACAACATAAAGGCAAAGATACCCATCTTAGTGGCAGGGGAAAAATAGCATCCAGATTAAAAAGATCAGATAAAAGATCCAATAACAAGTGTGTACGTTTTAAAAGTGAAATGCTAAGATGGGTTGCTGCATGCATCTCTTTTTACCGTCTAACAGAAATTCTACAAAGTGATGTTGCAGCTTCCATGGCTTAAACCAGGCCAATGTTTGAACCATATGGTGAACAAATACATCAAATAAGGCAAGACTATCATCATTATTTATTAAGTCACAAGCTTTTCTTATATACAAGAGCTAAAGTTACATGATTCAATATCATGATTTTTTAAGGAGTACATTTATCATTTACTTAATTCAGTTTCTTAAAAAAAAAAAAGCTAAAATTGTTCACCTTAAGGATGGCTTCCTTTGTATAAAAACTAAATTTGCCAACTTGATTATCATCCACCTCAGAGACAGCTAAGACAAGAGTAGTAGGAGAATATCTGCAAGAAGAAACATGAAGTTGTTTTAATATGGCATGCTGGTAATCAAGAGATAACCTTCTGATGGGACGGACACATGGCATTTGGTTGGATCTGGAACATCAGTGGTAATAACAGTGCATGTTTTATACAGGACTCAATATTTAAACACAAACTACGAGGATTCTGGGTCTTTTCAATCTTTGTTGTACTTGCTCTCTGCAGTTTGGGTGTGCTGACCACTCCACAGTGTTTGAATTGTTTTCTATTGATCACCATTACACTGTTCTCTGACTTTTTTTTTTTTTTTCCTTACCTTTGAACACTCAGGCTCTTTGCATTCTTTTGTACACCCTTGAAATGTTGGTCCCTTCTTTTCTTATTCTGTCCTGTGGTACAGTACTATCATCTAAATGTTCTTTAAGTGTTTTGATTCTACCTTGGAATATTATCCTTTGTCCAAAATGATTAAACTTTGCCAAGTAACTTAATATTTATGAATCTTGATTTCTTCACCTGTGAACAGGAATATCTCTGATCTCCCAGTGAGATAATATGTATGAATGTGCTTTTTAAACTCTAAAAATGTTTGGTATGTATTGTTGTTATAATGCCACTCCAAAGTGGCAGGTTTAAAGAGTTAATATATAAAAAATAAATACAAACTCAAGGCACTTCTTGAACATGTTAACTTTTCCCCAATATTACAGTTTAAGTTTTGTCCCCTCAAAACGTATGTTGACGTACTAAATCCCAAGTACCTGTGAATATGACCTTGTTTGAAAATAAGGTTTTTGCAGATGAGGTTAAGATGAGGTCATTAGCCACAGTCACAGGGGACATCAAGTTCAATTGGCATAACTTACTACACAAAACATTGTTCCACCTTCTACTTTGGTGAGTAGCTACTGGGATCTTAACAGCTTGCAAGCAGCCATCTAGATGCAACGATGGGTCTCTCCTTTTCCAGAGCAAAGAAGAATGAAGAAAACCAAAGATTCATGGAAACAATTAGTCCTAGACACTGGTACACCATGCGATTCGCAGCCTATACAACTATGAGACCAGAAGAACTAGATGGTGCCCAGCTACCAATGTCAACCACTCAGAGGGGGATCTATGTAGGAGACCCTCCATGGAAAGGGAGAACAATGTGAAACAAAACTCAAAAGCATTTGGGAAAAAAAAGGGGGCACTAGGTTTTCTGGTCTAATAGAGCCTGGTGGAACCACTGAGACTATGGCCCCTAGCTGCCCTTCAGGTCTGGAATTGAACCCACACCTGTGGCTTCCAGCCAAGCAAAAGATAGGCATAGGAGTTAAACATTTACCTGAGATAAATACACTCCTTGGAGAGAACAATCATGGGAAAAAGAAGAGCTGTTTATGCACAGGGAGACAGCTCAGGGAGCAGGGATGCATGGAGGGATGGTCACAGGGAAGAGGTGACTGTTGGGAAGAAGTAGGAGGGGAGCTGTTGCATTGTGGTGAATTGTGATCAATGTCATGAGACAAAGTGTATGTGAATTCTGTATGGAAAGTGAATTTGTTGTGTAAATTTTCACCCAAATCACAATAAAAAAAATTTAAAAAAAAAAAAAAGAGGAAGGGAAAAAAAAAAAAGATGAGGTCATTAGGATGCGTCCCTGTACTGGTGAGCAAGGGGCACAGTGGACGAATCCCACCTTTCTTGCTAACTGAGTGGTAAGGATCAGCATGAATCCATTGCCTACCTGGAAATGGATCCAGTCCTCACCTTCCCACATGTCTTGCCTTGTTGCCAGCCACCCATGTGGTACTTTCTCTCTCTGGTCTTAACATCACCCAGAGTTAGGTTAGACCTCACAGATTGAAAACACTCTATCTTTTGACTTCCTACACAGACCTTCTCTAAATTTGCTACCTCAAGCTAAGTCAGAGTTCACACATTAGACAGACTCAGTCCTTTCATCCTTCCAACTGCCAAATAGTCAGACACAAGCCCCTAGAGGCTTGCATGCCCCCTGTGGGTTTGTTAATTCTGTAGTACAGCTCACAGAATTTACCAAGAACTATCTATGCTTATAGTTACCCATTTATTATAACCAGAAAGGATATAAATGAAGAGAGTCATCAGGTAAAGTCTACAGGGGTCCTGACATGAGACTTCCATTGTCCCCAGAGACATGCCACCCTCCAGAGAGCACATGCGTCACCAATCCAGGAAGCCCCTGAACTTCATGGTCAATGATTTTGATTGATTTCATTGTTTAATCATGATTTGGGTCCCATCGATTAGTCATGACTGACCCAATCACCAGATATTCATGATTGGATTATGTCCTTCCTCCTTTCCGAAGGATAGCTGACCAGGTGGGGTCTGTGTAGCCCCTACTCTTCTGTACACATCTTCAGGTACTGTCCAGAGGTTTTACATAATAAAGGGACTTCAATTGCTGCAGAATTCCAAGGGCTATCTTTCATGCTTGGTAAAATAGAAGGTCAGAGAAAAAGAGGGAGACCTTCAATGAGATGGTCCAACACAATGGCTACAACAATGGGCTCAAATATACCTGCATCATGAGGATGGTGCAGGACCAGGTCCATTTTATTCTGTTATCCATAGGGTGGCTATGTATCGGAGCTGACTTGATGGCACCTAAAAACATCTTTCAACAACCAAAGGCATCAGCCAAATCGAGCTTTCTATCATAACTCTAGTCAAATATTACTGATGTTCTTCTAAGAAGAGAAGAAGCACAAATAAACCCAGAGGGAGATGACCATGTGAAGACGGAGACAGAAATTGGCATTGTGCTGGGACAAACCAAGGAATGACTGGCACTACAAGAAGCTGGAAAAGGTCAGGAAGGATCTTCCCCTAGAGGGTTTGGGGGAAGCATGGCCCAGGAGACACCTTGATTTTGAGCTTCTGGCCTCCAGAACTGTGAGAGAATACATTTCTATTGTTTTAAACCATCCACTTTGTGGTAATTTGTTACAGCAGAGGAAACTAATATTCCTGGTTATCCAAACGGCTCCCTGGGATCTTGCAGCATGCCTAGGCCATCATTGGGAGGCCATATTACTAGTTGGCTAGACCACAGAGCTTTCAGACAATTTATGCTTTCTGATTGGTGGATTCAGGCTGTGCAGAAATGTACTCTATTTCACAGCAGTATAGAACAAATCTGTCTTGGAAGAGGTACAGCCAGAATGCACCTTAGAAGCAAGAATGTCCAGACTTTGTCTCTTGGACTTTGGTCATGTTATCAGGAGGGACCAATACCTGAAGAAAGATATCATATTTTGTAAAGTAGAAGGTCGGTGAAAAAGAGCAAGACCCTCAAGGAAATGGATTCATACAGTGGCTGCAACAATGGTCTTGAGAATAGCAAGGACTGTGAGAATGGTGCAGGACAGGACAGTGTTTCATTCTGTTGTACATACCATCCTTCTGAGTTGAAACAAACTCAAAGACTCTTAACAACAACAGCAGCATAGAATACTAGCTCTGGAAAGGCCCTTAAGGAGCCAGAGAACATCTTGTCTCCAGAACGTTTTCTCAGCTGCGCTGGTTGGAGACCTAGCCTCACCTGAGAGCTGACCATACTTGTGTGAGTGCTTCTGTGAAATTGCTGTATCTTAGCATGAATTCTCCTTTCGGTTTAACTCGTGTGACAGACTAGAGCAGACTTGCCCCCAGGAAAATTTTGGCACTGCCTGGAGACATTTTTGGTTATGAGAAATGGAAGGAAAGGGTACTTTGAGCATCTAATGGTAAAGGCCAAGGGTACTGGTGATCATTCTACAATGAACAGTACAACACCCATGACAGAGTATTGTCTGGTCTAAATATCAACTGAGGTTGAGAAACCTGGGATAGGTCATCCTAACATCCTTTATTCCAGTGCATGCATTTTGGGGATTCTTTAGCATATTAATACAGCCCAACCCACTGCCATTGAATCCATTCCAACTCACAGCAACCCTATAGAGCAGAGCAGAAATGCCCCAATAGGGTTTCTAAGACTGTAAATCTTTATGGAAGCAGACTGCCTCATCTTTCTCTTACAGAGCATCTGGTGGGTTGGAAATGCCAACCTTTTGGTTACCAGCCCAATGCCACCAGAACTCCTTCATTAACAGAGCAGAGCTGTGTTCATACTTTAAGAGGTGATCCACATTAGCAAAAAAACTGACTTTCCCTTTGAGTCACTTTGCCTTCCTGGGATGCAGCCAGTATCTGGAATGGTATCTCCAAGCCAGGATGGAGCTGGGACCCTTGAGGGGAGAGGCAGACTAGCAAATAAGGAAAGAAGAGGGAGATGACAAGAAGATTGTCCTAGGCACATTTTAAAGGCTGATTTTGTGTGGGGTTGGGGGTGGAGATTTGGTGGTGGTGGGGGTGTTGATTCCTTTCCTGGACTCTGACTATATTCATGATCTGTTACCAGTAAGACTGTTCTCTTTCAGGCAATGGGCTGAGCCTATATGGCCTAAGAGAGAAGTTTCACTAGTTTGAGTTGGTTTCTATTACTGAGGTACCAAGAGCCTGACTGAGATATTGGCATCACATGTTAGATTTGCACACTGAGTTATAGTTTTGCAGAAAATAATGTTCATAAAACTGCAGTGACTTCTTCCTGGCCACAGGCAAAGTGAGAGAAGAGATGTGGATTTCTGTTCTGTGATTCTTGCCCCGTCAGATCAACTCTCACACCCAGAAGCAACGTGGTCTACCCAGGCAACAGCTTAGCCTGTGATTTCATCTCATTTGAGTTCCCTAACCAGTTTCTTTAATTTTTCAGTAACTCAGTGCAGCTAAATCCAATTATTCCCCTTAACTGAGATCTTATTTTTCCCCATTAAAAAAGAAAGAAAAGAAAAAATTGATGTCATGGCAGATAGATTGTAAGGGAGAAAATTTAGAAATGAAATTGCATTTGCATGTCCAATGGTGACACAAATTATTTCTCACTAGTCATTCATTTAGCCATTACATGACTTTGACTTTGACCCTCTCAAGGCTCACCTGTCTACCCGATCACTGTCCTCCAGCAGAGAAGTAATAAAGACAGGAGGTGGTTGGTCTACCTTCTCCTTGTGGGATGCAAATTCAAAATGAACAGGTCTCAAGTACAAATGGAACTCTTCAAAACCCATCTCCCATGCCAATTCCTTATAGAGCCTAAAAAAGAAAGAAAAAGTAGAAAATATTTGCTAGCGTTTTCCCTTAAAAAAGAAAATATGCAGTGAGAAAACCAAAATATTTGAATATGCACAAAAGGAAGTCAAAACAGAAGTGAGCCAAGTGTGAACTGAACAAGTCGTGCTCTATGCTCTGACAGCCCAAAGTAGAAGTTAAAATAGGAGGTATGCTAGAGTACTTCCTTAATTCTCATTTCCTGCAAACTGGCTTCTGTCTTCATAGCCCTTGCTAAGGTCACCAATATTGCCCTTAACACAACGTTTACCATCTTCTCTCAGCTCCTCATGCCGTCCTCTTGGCGTCAGTCAGCACAGTTAGCCATCCCTTCCTTGAAAAATGTCTTTATCCTTCTGGATCTAGGATCTCCATTCCTGGTTTTGCTCCCACGTCACAACCACTCTCTTTTGTCTTTGCTGGCTCTTCTTCTCCTTATCTCCAAATCTTTATGTTTCTTGGGTTTCTAAAAGGGATCTCTGATGGTGTAGTGCCTAAGCCATTTGACTGCTAACGAGAAGGTTGGTGGGATCCACCAGCCACTCCTCAGGAAGAAGACAGGTTTCTAAATGTAGTCCTCTTCTTATCTCCTGTATCTTCTCTTTAGAGGGTCTGTCCAATCCTATACCACCTCGGAAACCCAAGGAGGGGTCACTATGAGTCAGATCTGACTTGATGGCAGTGAGTTTGGTTTTTGGTTTTTGTCTAATCCCAGGCCCTAATGATCACCCCTCCATGTCAAAATCTGTGATTCCATCAATATCCTGACTGACTCTAAGCTCCATATCCCCATTTTTGTCACATTTAGCAAATTCAGATGTCCTGCTTACATCTCAGCTTTATTGTTATTAGTTGACATCAGGTCAGATCCAACTCACGGTGACTTTATGTATAATAGAATGAAATACTGCCCAGTCCTGTACCATCTTCAGGGAGCTCAGGTGGCATAGTGCCTGAGGCACTTGACTGCTAACCAGGAGGCTGGTGGTTCAAACCCACCAGCCACTCCTCGGAAGGAAGATTGGGCAATCAACTTCTGTAGTGATACTGCCTCAGAAACCCAAGGAGAGGTTGCTGTGAGTCAGATCCGACTCGATGGCAGTGGGTTTTAGTTTAGTACCATCTTCATAATCATTGTTATGTTTGAGTCCGTTGCTGTGGCCATTGGGTAGTGCCTTCCAATCCAAAGTCACTTCCTGCACTATATTGGACAGTATTCTGTTGTGATACATTGGTTTTCATTGGCTAACTTCTTTAAGTAGATTACCAGGCCTTTCTTCCTAGTTTGTGTTAGGGTGGAAGCTCCATTGAAACCAGTCCATAATGAGTGGCCCTGCTGGTATTTGATACACCAATGACATAGCTTCCTGCATCACTGTAGCCCATAAGCCACTACAATATGATAAACAGACAGATGATGATGTCAGTCTTACATGTCCAGAGTGCCTTCTCCTCCACTCTAACCTTGACTTCTGCATTTATCATTTTCTAGTTTTGTAATCTTGGTCACATTACTTCTCTGAGCCTCTATTTCCTCACTGGTAAAATGTTTCTAACATATTTCATAGGGATATTCTGAGAATTAAATTAAATAATACATGTAAAGTCCCTAGGACAACCCTGGCCACAGCGAGCCCTCAACAATAGTGGGTAATGGATGACCAGATTCTTTGTGTCTATAGGGCCTCCTCTCTTGAGAACCAGAATCCTCATCACACGTGTTTGCAATGAACCCTTTAGCTCCTTATTGCATGTGTCCACTTGGATGTCTTACCACCATCTCATACTTACACCTAAAACATAGCTCATTAATCTTTCTCTCCTTCTGCTTGGTGAGCCTTGTCTACCTTTGTCAGAACTGGATACTGTCATTAACTCATCTCTCTCCTTTCTCCAAGTTCTATGCTGCTTCCACTCTGCTATTGAACTTCATTATACTCAAGAGCAAATTCAAACAATATTCACTGAGTGCCTCATGTGGTTCAGACTACTGATGGGATATCACAGTAAACTATGCAGGCAGGGCTTTGGCATGCTGGGAGCTTACAGTAGCAGAAAACCATAAGCCAGCAGCAATAAGCATATAATTAAAAGGAAGTGAACTGAATGGAGATGAAGCCAAGGTGCGAATAGGAGGACCTCACCTAGTGGAGTGGTCCAGGAGGCACTGGGGAGGCCAGAACAGAGAAAAAGCAAGGGAGCAGGATGATCACTGTGGTCATTTAGAAAGCCATAGGCAAGGCTTGCATACAAGGAGACCCGTGCTCTGTTGTCCCCCAGATTCTGCTGTAGAGCTTATTCTCCACAGGCTAACTTCTGACCTGGCTAAGTGTGCACTCTCCAGACTCATTTCTATCAGCCGGTGGCGGAGAGTCAGCAATTCCAGAAGTTTGCAAAAGGTCTCCAGGAGCAGCACATGTGAATCCTGGCCTTGCTTCTGTTCTTCATCTGCTGCAGACTTGAATGCAAGCAGGCCTAACTCCACCACAAAAAAGGGATCTCCCATCACTCTAGTTGAAAACAACTGAAAGAAAACAAAGCATGTGGTCAAACATGTAAGAAACTTTAAAATACACATACATATACCATCAGTGGCACAGACTCTATATCTAGCTTCCTTGGACTCAAGTTCTAGCTCTGCCACATACAAGCTACAAGAGGTTGGACGGTTTATTCGAATTCTCCATCTCTCAGTTTCCTCATCTATAAAGTGAGGATGAAGATAGTAACAGTGGTACCTACTAGTAGAATTGTTATGAGGCTTAAGTGAGTTAATATATACAAAAGTGCCTGGGAGATAGCAGCTATCATCCTTATAAATGTTTTCAGGTATTTATAATTTGAGGCAAGATAAAGAAAAGAATAAAAATAATAGCCCACTACCCACCCACTGCCATGGAGTTGGATTCAACTCATAGGGACTCCTCCTTGGGTTTTTGAGGTGGTATCACTATGAAAGTAGATTGCCCAATCTTCCTTCTGAGGAGTGGCTGCTGGGTTTGAACCACCAGCCTTCTGGTTAGTAGTCACATGCCTTAGGCACTACACTACCAGAGCTCCCAAAAGTAATAGAGGCAACCTAAATAGAAACGAATCCCTGATATTTTTAAAAGTATTTTGGTGACCAACAATAATACTAATTTCTTATAGACCCCCGGAATTGCAGTTTCAAAATTTCAAAGTATGTTCACATATATTGACTCATTTTTATTTTCTCAAAATCCAAGAACGACACATACTACTCCAATTTACCAATGAGGGACCTGAAACTTCTTGAGGTCACACAGCAGTACCAAGAGTAAATTTAGGCTTCCTAATCTTAATGTCAAAGAGCTCTGGTGGCATAGTGCCTAAGGAATTTGATTGCTAACCAGAAAGTTGGTGATTCAAACCCACCAGCTCCTCCATGGAAGAAAGATGGGGCAATCTACTTCATAAAGATTTACCACCTCAGAAATGCAATGGGGGTTGCTTTTAGTCAGAAATGACTTGACGGCAGTGAGTAATCCCAAGGTCAGTAGTTTACCAAATTGCCTTTACAGCATTCCTCTGCTCAGAGCCAGCCATGGGAAATTTAGGACTAACCACATCTTCCTTTAGGAGCTCTGGTAGAGTAGTGCCTAAGGCATTTGACTGCTAAGCAGAAGGCTGGCAGTTCAAACCCACCAATCACTCTTCAGAAGGAAGGTTGGGCAATCTACTTCTGTAGTGATACTGCCTCGGAAACCCAAGGAGGGATCGCTATGAGTCAGTTCCAACTTGATGGCAGTGCAAGTGTGACACCTTCCTTTAACACCCTCCTGCCTCTGTGGGTCCCAAAGTTCAACTTAGTTTCACTAACTGAAAGGTTAGTGGTTCAAACTTACACAGCGGGTCCTCAGGAGAAAGGCTGGGCAATCCACTCTCTTAAAGATTACAGCCAAATAATATAGCACACAAAAACATCATTCCACGTCCTACTTTGGTGAGTAGTTAAACCAAAACCAAACTCACTGCCATGGAGTCGGATCCGACTCATAGCAACCCCTCCTTGGTTTTCCAAGGTTGTATCAGTACGGAAGTAGGTTGCCCAATCTTCCTTCTGATGAGGAGCAATCATCTAAGATGAAACTATTGGTCTTTTCTCCTCTGGAGCAAAGGAGAGTGAAGAAAATCAAAGATGCATGGAAATAATTAGTCCAAGAGACAAGTGGACCATGAGAACCTCAGCCTATATGACCCTGAGACCAGAAGAAGTAGGTGGTACCCAGCTACCACTGTCAACTACTTGGAAAGGAATCAAAATTGGAGATCCTGGACAGTTGTTGTTGTTGCTGTTAGGTACTTTTGAGTTGTCTCCAACTCATAGTGATGTTATGCACAGCAGAATGGAACACCGCCCAGTCCTGTGCCAGCTCCACAATCCCTGCTACACTTGAGCCCATCACCGCAGCCACTGTGTCAATCCATCTCGTTGAGGGCCTTCCCTTCTTTCATAAACTCCCCACCTAACCAAGTATGACATCCTTCTCCAGGGAATGGTCCCTTCTGACAACAAGACCAAAGTATGTGAGATGAAGTCTGGCCATTCTCACTTCCAAGGAGATTCTGGCTGCACTTTTTTCAGGACAGATTTGTTAGATTTTTGGCAGTCCATGGTACTTTCAGTATTCTTCGCCAATACCACAACTCAAAAGCATCAATTCTTCTTTGGTCTTTTTATTCATTGTCCAGTTCTCACATGCATATGAGGCAATTGAAAATACCATGGTTCGTGTCAGGTGCACCTTAGTCCTCAAGGAGACATCTTTGCTCAGCACTTGAAAAAAGTCCTTTGCAGCCAACTTGCCCAGTGTTATACATCACCTGATGTCCTGACTGCTGCCTCCATTGGTGATGATTGTAGAACTAAGCAATGTGAAGTCTTTGACAACTTCAATCTTTTCTCCATTTATCATGATGCTGCCTATAGGTCCAGTTGTAAGGATTTTTGTTTTTTTATACTGAGATGTAATCCATACTGCAGACTGTATTCTTTAATCTTCATCAGTAAGTGCATCAAGTCATCCTCACTTTTAGCAAGCAAAGTTGTGTCGTGAGCATATGGCAGGTTGTTAATGAACCTTCCTATAATCCTGATGCCACGTTCTTCTTCATATAGTCCAGCTTCTCAGATTATTTGCTCAGCATATAGATTGAATAAGTATGGTGAAAGGATACAACCCTGACA